CCCACACGACCTTTACTTTTAATGAGATAAATGACAGTCACTGTCACCAACTCTTAAAGTGATTGGCAAATATGATCACCAGGTCAAGCCCTCAGTAATATCTGCTTCTGGGCTCAGAAACACAAACAAATGAGGGCCCTTGCAGGCTGCCATCTCTCGAGACCCAAGCTCCTCCACAGGTGAGCACACCAGGCAGGGCCACCTCATGCCCGAAGGCACAAACAGCAGGGTGAGCTCTCGTGGCTCACTCGGATGGCCTGGGTCCCTGACTTCATGATGGGGTGAGGGATGGGAGGAGGGTCCTAAGCTTCAGAGTGAGCAACCTGGGGAGTCTGCTAAACTGCAGATCCTGCCAGGTGTGGGGATTCATCTATCAATTCGCTGTAACTATTATCAAATTTCCAACAGGATCTTTTTTTGCTGGACCTTCACAAACTAATCTAAAATTTATATGGAAACCAGGCATAACAGTGCACACATATAATCCCAAAGGTCTGGGACGCTGAGGCCAGAGGTTTACCAAGTAAGGCCAGCCTAAGCTACATAACAAGTTTGAGGCCAGCCTGAATCATAGAGGAATAAAATTTTTTTGATGGATATAGTAGAACATACCTATAATTCCAGTACTTGGGAAGCTGAGGCAGGAGGATGGCTGAATGTCTGAAAGTTTGAAGCCAGCCTGGGCTACAAAATGAGTTCAAGGCCAGCCTGAAATGCATTGTGAGACTGTCTCAAAAAGACAAAGAAAGAAAGAAGAAAGTGGAAGAGGAAAAAGAAGACAGAAAGGAAGAGGAAGAAAAACAAGAAATTTAAAAATAAAATGCAAATCCTTCAGTCCTCTACAACGCTTCCCACTCCAGATTCTGACTAGTAAGTCGGGGTGACACCCAGTAATCTTAACTGTTGCATAAGCTCCCCTTGTGCTTCTGAAATAGACAGTTCATGAACCAGTCACAGAACCCACAGAAGTGAAGAATTATTGTTCTGTAAAATATTTGAGTACAGAGAACCTATCATTAGAGTCCAGCTAGTCTAACACCTTCAATGAGAAACCAACGGCTAGAGAGGAGATACGATCTGCTTGAGGTCATAAAGCAAGGCATTGCAAGGCTGGAGCTTGAATCAGCACCTCTTGCCTCCTAACCTAGTGTTTGCTCCTCTGAGTCCATCAGGAACTGGCTAGTCAGGTCCTCACAACCTGTGACGCTGCAGGGTGAGTCAGTCTCTTCAAAGTGTAGTAGTACTAACTCAACAAGGAGTCACAGGGCTCTGGAGACATTGAGAAGAGTTCCTAGAGTTACCTTCCAGCAGAGTCACAGTTTACAGCAGCCAAGGTAACATCAGCCACAGTGCCACCAGGAAGTGGAGTGAGATTTTTGCCCGTTGCTACTCCTGTGTGTCCCTTCTACTTCCCTCACCAAAGAAGGTTCACAGCCAGGTCAGGCTGTTCTCAGGAGGCGGGGTCACTCCAGGACTGGCTTGCTCAATCCACTGGACCTGTGGACCCTCTGAGGTCCATCTAAGCCTTTCTGGAAGGTGCAGTCTTCCATCCTCACCATGACTAGTCTTCTCTAGGGCCTGGGGCCTGGGGCTTTGATGCCAGTTGGTGAGAGAGATGACAGATTAATCTTTAGCCTATTCCTGCTCCAGTCCCACCATTACTGATAGTCAGCAACAGCATGGCCCATGGCCCTGCCTGAGACTGCTGTAGAAGTCAGAGTTTAATGACATCATCCCTGAATACCAAAGCACTTCCCAAGTCAGGCACAGCCTAGAAGTTGGTATGGAGGTTAAGAAATTAAAAGATAGTGCCTTATTGCAAGCATAGACCCACACACCAGTAGAACAGGTAGATACTCCAAAACAGGCCGATATCTGATTGATGCCAAAGATGCCAGACCCAACACCATAGGATTCCATTTACATGACGTTCAGTGATGGCTGCAAGCAGTTTATGGTGAAAGAAGTCAGAAGAGAAGTGGCCATGTGACAGCAAGGACATTGACAGAGAGGGGGTAAGGGGGAGCTTGCCAGAAATGGTTTACACCTTTACCTGGACAGTGATTACATGGGACATCCATATGAAAACTTACCACTAAGACTGGTGACTGAAGGGACATTATTCTCTCTCTCTCTCTGAGTTTCTGACTCTTCCCCTGCACAGTAGAGACCACAGCCTCCTTCTGAAGGCTATCTGTGTGGAGGGCCTGGGGCCTGGCTCAGGCAGTAGATGAGTGTTAATAGTAAAAGAGGCAGAGGAAGACACAATGGGGCCACCAACAATAATGACAAAAACAGTCCAGCTGCCGTTGGCAAAGCTTCTCAGTCAGTGCTGGGCCTCCTTTGCACAGTTACTGATGTGGCTGTCAACCAGCTGGCTCCAGGTCCCATTGCAGCCCAATGCTGACCTCTGGGAGGCAGATAGAGAAGGTGGAGAGGCAAGGACTTTGGAGTCAGATGAACCTGAGTTCCACCCTGCTTCTTCCCCTGCTGGTTGTGAACCACTTGAACCTCTCTGAGCTTGAGCTTTCCCATTTAGAAATATATATTATTAATAGCTGTAATGCATAGAGCTTATGTGTCTCACAACCCTGGCATATGCTAGGGTTGCTGCATATGTCTCTATGTCCAAAAAAAAACAACTAACACTCTTGCCAGCCTCACAGAGGCCAAGCCAGGGACTGAGCCTTGTTCTCCACTTAACTGACTTAAGGATGTTGACCAAGGACTGTCTGCCCAGATGCTGGCTTTGTCTGCAAGGTATGGCTAGAGGGTGGCAGCAGGAGCAGAACAGTCCTGCCTCTGAGTGTCCTGCTGGTATCCACTGTCATGAGCACCTCATTCAGCCACGATCAAGCCATACCAGAGCGCATCTCTCCACCTACGCACTCTTCTTGGAAAATTAAAACTGCCTCTGATTAACATCATTAGGGCCTTGGCTCACTGGATCCAGAGACCAAATGGATTTGGGGTGGCTGGAATGCATATCACGCCACAGCCAGCCATAAGGAAATGCCAGTAACTGAGCAGGGCCAAGGCCCCCAGGTCCTTCCTGTTTAGGAGGTAGAGGCCCTGCTCCCCGTGAAGGGACCATCCATCCCTCCCATGACATCCCTTTCACACACCACAGCAAAGACTCTGTCACCTGCCCAGATCACTGCCCTGCATCACCCCAGGAGTCAAGGGCAAAGGGTACAGAAGCCCACTGCTTACAGGGTGCGATGGTACACACCTGTAATCCACCACTCTGGGAGGCTGAGCAGGAGGACTGTAAGTTCAAGTCCAGCCTGTGCAGCTTAGTGAGATCCTGTCCCAAAATGACAAATTAGAAAGGGTTGGGATACAGCTCAGTTTGAAGAAACAAAAAGAAGAAAAAAGTAGGGAGGAGAGAAAGAAGAGGAAGACAAAGAGGAGGAGGAAGAAGATGGAGCAGCTTGTTACCAGCGCCATGAGAGACATCTATATGTTCTTCTGTGTCTGTCTGTCTGTCTGTCTGTCTCCCCCCCCAACACCACCAACTCATCCTGTCCCTCCAGGAAGCAGAACTCGTTAAACAAATCCAGGAGTGACCTCTGTGTCTTGGAAGCCACTCCTCAAATAGGTTCTTGGAGCTCCATGTCCCCACAGTGGGGGACAACAGCATCCCCGAAAGGCCCAAGCCAGGCACGGTCACCCAGGCCTCTTCTCACAGTCACTCAATGCACTTTGCTGCAGCCCCTCCTCTCATGGTCTAACAGGAACTGCAGACTCAGGGGGGTCTGGGTTCCAACCAATGCAAACTACTTTCCCTCTCTGGGTCTCCAGATTCTTTATCTGCAAACTAGAGACAATAAGATCTCCCTCCTGGGCTTATGAAGGACAAAGGGCCTAACACAGGAAGTCAGGCAATCAAAACACTAAGGATAAAAGGAGACAAGCAAAGAACGGGAGCCAGCGATAATAATAATGAAGAGAAGTAAAATCCTGCCACCCTCTGCAGTGCCAACTACACACCAGGCACTGTGCTCAGTGAGGTCCATGACTAGCTCATGTAGTCCTCATGGTGCCTCAAGAGGTTCAGTAGTACACAACCAGCAGAGAAATAAGCAAGGTTGAACTCGGGTTCACATGACCCCAACAGCATGTACCATTGTGGTCCCCATTTATAGAGCCATTCAGCTACCAGAAGGCCTTACAACCCCCACACTCCCAAAAATGTCCCTGGCTTTCTCCTCTGGGTCATCTTCTCACTGGAAACCCATGTAAATTCTCATGTGCCACCTGGTGTGAATGGCACGGGTGGGTGAGTAGGAAAGAACATTGGCCTCCAATGAGTCTGGCTCTTCCATGCCTTCCTATCCTAAGTAGACTGGGTCACTGCATTGGTCCCACATGTCCAAACCCTCCAGTGACTCCCCAAAACCTCTACCATGTGCATCTCCAGCATGCCCCAGGGAACCTGCCTCAGACTTTGCTCTGGGATTGGGTCTGGCTCCCCTCTGAATCCCACAGCTAGCTACACAAAGACTGAGACAATGATAATATTGTGGGCAAACACCCACCATTCTGTGGTGACCAGGAAACAGAAGATAAGGTACAAGAACCAAAGGAATCGAGGTGGGAGATGAAACACAAGCCCCACACTATCCCTTACTCTGCCAAGCAGACCCCATTAATTACTAGGGTCCTCCCCACTGCCTGGTATCTGTGTCTGGGCAGTGGCAGCAGGAGGGGAGGGCAGAAGGATGAGGGCCCAGTGACTCAGCCCTGCTATGTCTGTGGCCACTCAGCTATGTGGGACCCAGATGGGACAAAGAAAGGTAATAGCCCAGCAAGGCAGGAGCGGCTGGGAGGACTGTGTCCCCATCCCCACTGTGTGTAGCCAGCTGGATGAGGTGACCTGGAAGAATCCTCTGTGCTCCATTTGTCATTTTTCAGACAATGGGTAGTAAGGTCAGACCCTGAGACCTCAACCAAATAATCCTGCGTCCTGCGCACACAGAGCAGCGCCCCAGCCTCACCTCATCCACGTTGATCTTGTTTCTCTCCATATAGTCCCTGTCGTTGACCTGTCCGCCCTCCACAAACTCCATCAGCAGCACCCGCTTGGTGGACAGCTCCCAATAGATCCGGGGGACCTGGAAGGAGAAGGGCAAGGGCTGCTCAGCTCACATCAGGGGAGGCTGGAGGTCAGGGGCCAGGACCACAGCGATGCACAGCAATGCCGGCCAGACGACAGCAGGCAGGCTCTGCTTCCCCACAAGGGGGTCTCAGGGACCGGGCCCTGAGAGAAGGGTCCCTACCCCACCTGCCCAACTCCTGCACAGACCACTCCTGCCTGGGGATAGAAAGTGGCCTCCCTACCCACTTAATGCCTTCCAAACTGGCCCTGAGAGGGAAACATGAAGCGGCTCCCCCAGGCACAGGTGTTCAGAACCATCCCCTCTCCCACCCCCACCAGACCACTCAAGATTCACAAACACCCTCCCCTGCCACCACAGCTTCCCACCAGGTGATAGATGTGGTATAGGTAAGGAGCAAACCGATGCTTTAGCATCTTTACCAGATGCTACCTGTCCTTCATGCCAGTGTCCTACAAGCCCTGTGTACACACAACACTAGATCTCAACCTGACGTCTCTTCCCCACCCTCCTCTTTATTGGAGATAAGAAAGAATGCTTTCTCTACTGGCCTTACAAGAGGTGTGGTCCTGGGTCTGGAGATTTAGCTCAGCGGCATAAGTGCCTGCCTTGCAAGCAGGCAGTCGTGAGTTCGATCCACGGTACCGATAAAAAAAGGAAAAAGACCAAAAAAAAAAAAAAAAAAAAGAGGTGTGGTCCTGTGATTCCATTCTGGCCTATTAAATCTAAGTAGAAGTTTGCTAGGCAATTCTGAGGAACTTTTTATTTTCTTAATTAAAAAGGAATTTGGGAATAGAACTACTCTTCTTCCTCTTCTTGCCTTAAAAATGAATGCAATTTCTGGAGCTGCAGCAGTCATCTTTAGACCAGGAAGATGAAGCCAAGAAAATCAGAAACAACAGCTGTGACACTATCATACTACTAAATGGTACCTACAGGCAACTGCTGCAAACCTTGCTGTTATGTGAGGAAAATAAATTTTTTATTGTTTAAGATGCTATAAATGGGAATTTTAGTTATCTGCAAACAACTGCAACACTAGCTAATAAAGTCTGTAACTGTCTCTGACTCTGAGAACATGTAAAGCTAACAAGAGAACAGATTCCATCAGGAGCAGGCAAGAGGTGTGAATGTATCAAGGGCTGTCATGATGCCATATGAGTGGGTGACAGCCATCAGGACCACAGTACCCAGGCAACTTTCCATGTGCTGTTTCCTCAAAATTTTGATGGGCTTATTCCTCTAACAAATAAAAAACATGACCAACTAATTCAAATGTTTTGGAGAGTAAGACCTCCCCCTTCCCTAGCCTCTCAAACTCTCCTAGCAACAAGACTGTGGTCCTCAATGCAGAAACCTAATTTCTGTTCCTAATTCTGATGGAAATAATGGTGCACTCAGCTCATTCTTCACTCCTTATGCCTCAGTCTTCCCACTGGCAAGAAGCATTGTTTCCGCTCCACTCAGGAAAAGACCCTGAGGACAAGGGGGGCCCCTACACATAAATGAAGACCTCTGGTTAGAAGCATGGCTCCCACTGACATCAAGGTGTTCTTCTGCTTTGCAACTTCCCTTGTCTTTGCCATATGAAAATCTGGACCAATAAAGAAATCTGTGACTGTCTCTTCCTTCGAACTCAAAATGTAGGCTTGCTTGACATTTTTCAAAAAGCATCTTTTTGAAAAAAAAAACTTTAAGTGGGACTGGTGGTGCATGCCTGTAAACCCAGCTACTCAGGAGACTGAGACAGGGGGATTGAAAGTTCAAGGCCACCCTGGACAACTTAGGGAGAACTTTCTCAAAATAAAATAAAAAGGGCTGGGATTTTAGCTCAGTAGTAAATCACTTGCCTAGCATCCTTGAGGCCTTAGTACTGCAAAATAAACCAAAAAGGGTATAAATTCATTTATTGTTTTTGTTCATGTTTTCTAAGTGAGAGGGATGTCATTTTGAGCTAATTTCTTCCTTCTATTTAGAAAACAAATCCTGGTGGTTGGCCTAGGGCTTTAGAGGCAGGAGGTTACACTACTAGCAGGATCGCTACAGCCACATGGCCAACACAAGGACAGCTACCATGGAAAGAGGACCCAAGGCAGTGGTGCCTGGGGCTGGCCAGGCAGGACTGTTGTGCAGGGGCACCCCTCCTCCATCTCTGCCCATCCGGTGTGATCAGTGCAGCCTGGCCACAGAATGTGCCCTTTATACCTGCTGTTCAGGTCTGGAATGACAGAAATACCAAACCTGGGCAATGGAGGAGCTCATCATGGGACTCAGGAGGGGCCACAGACAGATACAGCATGATTATGACTGCAAAAGGCCCAGTTGCTCCTCACTCAGTCAGGAAGGTGACTTGCCCTGCAAATCATCAGACGGGCAGGAGAGTTTTAAGCATGGTAAAGTGACACACAAGTCTCATCTTCATTTCCCCTATTCTGCTTCTTCTATCAAAGAATGGAAGGATCGAAGAGGAAAACCGAGCCCCCCACCCCAACAAACCAACACAAATCCCTGGGAGACAGTTACACCTGGCCAAGGACCATGGGTCTGTCTGCCTGCCTGCCATGGAAAAGGGACTCCACCTGTGGGCTCCCACACTGAGGCCAATGTTGGTTCTGAGGAACAGGGAAGATTCTGGAAAGTTCTACCCAAAACTCTTGGAGGCATCTACCTCAGTGTGGCCTGACCTTGTGTTGGTGGTACTTTGTTCCTGTGCTCTGGCTTATCCTCCTGCAGCCACAGCCCACCCAGGGAGGCTGAGTGCAGACCCATGGCCAGACTGCCTCCTGCAAGCTGTGGGTCAGTTTTACAGCCTCTCTGAGCCAGTTTTATAACCACTTCCTATTAGCAGAAGAAGCAAACCTGACACAGTGCCAGACACTTAGCAACTGCCAGACACACATCAGCTGCCCTCATGACTGCAACACAGTGAACCACAGGCGTTCTGAGCCACATGAGGGCTGATGGTGCCACACATGGTCCACCATAATCATCTCTCCCATGAAACATCACAAAGGCAGAAGAGCATAGTGATTTGAAGCACGCCCTCTGAGCCAGGGTGCCTCCATTTAAAACTTGGTTCTGCCTCTTACTGGAATCCTATGTAAGCTTGGACAAATGACTTGATCGATCTCTCTGGGCCTCAGTTTCCCCACAAAGATATGAAGTTAAGAATGGCCTTACACAGGAATGGTAGCACATGCCTGTAATCCCAGCACTCTGGGAAGCTGAGGCAGGTGGAATGCCAAGTTCAAGCCTAGCCTAGGTAATTCAGCATCTTAGCAAGACCCTATCTCAAAATAAAACATGAAAAAGGGGCAAGGATGTAGCTCAAATGAAGGCCTTGGGTTCAATCCCCAGTCCCAGCTCCTCAGGCACAGGAAGAACCCTGGGGTGGCTCTAGTGGCTCTGCCACAGTGTAATCCACACCCATCCCCACCCCCACTCACCAAACACACTCATCTCCACCAGGCCCACACTCCAAGGCTCCTCCCTTCCTGACCTGGCCCCAGCTGTCTTGACCATTCAGCCTGGCTGCCCCCCCACACCTTCCTCCAATCTCCTGGATGCCTTATTTGCATTCAGTACTTGTCTGGGGCACACAGATTTATAGCATAGGGCCGAGGTTATTAAACCTCACATAAGCACTGGAAGATACCTCACACACTGAGAGGTAAACTCTTTGCTGAGGCTTAATTACGCACAGATGTTGTGATGGGGTGCCAGCGTGCAAAAGCAATCTATCTCCAGTTTTAAGAGCTGTACTGAGTTCACAGCATAAAATTCCCTTCCTGTTTGTGATGTGTTTAGGCAAAATTAATTACTTAGGAGCCTTCGTTCCACCATTGTCTGAGGAATAGTGTATGGTTCTAGAGGCAGCAGGTCAAATCAGTACATTAATTATTTATCCGTTTGGCACACTAATTTCAAAAAATTGTGTTGTTATTGCATGTCTTGGTCTGGCCATTGTTAGTTGGCCCCAGCCAGGGGACAATTTTGCCATTTCCATGGAAACAGTGGAGAAGACGTTTCTGTTTGTCTGGCTCAGAGCTCTGACTCCGAGGGGCGGCCCTACTGGGCAAAAGGCACCAGAAAATCTTGAGATGAGCACCAGACTTGAAAATCAGAAAACCTGGATTGTGGCCTGAGCTCCTCTACTTGAGGACTGTCATCAATAAAATGGGATGATAGTGGAAGGATTCGCTGTCATAGTACCTGCACTGTGTCTGATGCCACTGTGCCTGCCAAAGAACCACTTAATAAATATTGCTCATTCCTCTGTACACTCAAGACTTCTTGGACGCCCTCTAATTACTTTATCTTGGGAAGCACAAAAACAAAGAGCATTGTCTGTCACACTGTGAAACAATCTCTGCTATAACAATACATTTGTGGGGCTGGAGATTTAGCTCAGCGGCATAAGCGCCTGCCTTGAAAGCAGGCAGTCGTGAGTTCGATCCCCGGTACCGATAAAAAGGAAAAAGACAAAAAAAAAAAAACAATACATTTGTGTGCTCCTGCCCCATTAGATGGGAAGCTGTCCAGGACCTCCAGCTCTATCAGTGAGCCGACCTCCAGCTTTTAGCACAGCAACAGACTCAGGAAATGCTCGAAAAATGCAGGATAAAGGAACGTTCAGGAATGGGAATGCAAGTAGAGGCATCACTTGAACCTCACAGCATTATGCTAATTAGCTCACATTTACTATTTCTCCAAGAGAACCCATTCAATTGGTAGTTTGAGCTTGTGTTCTCAGGTCCACTTCTGGATTCACATGCACAAGGACGTCTAGACATCCACCACTACGACAGAGGTCATCAAAAACCCAGATGACCACAATAGGGCCTGGAGATGGCTAAACTTTACCTTCCACCGAAATCAGTGTGCCAAGACACTGAACTGATCATCGTAGCTTTTCTTCACATGAGCCAGGCCTCAAGATTCCCAGGTGGTTGGTACAGATATGTTCTTGCTAATCTGAGTAGCAGAAGTATAAGCAATACCTCCATGTCTCACGATGTCTTCCAAAGCCACATGATACTAACGTCCAAAACAACAGAGCCTTTCCCATGCAGTTTTCGCAACCAGCCTCCTTTCTCACCAGCAGGCCACATGACTGAGCACTCTGGAACTCTCATAAGGAGCTCCCAAAGGTTCTGTGACTCCCTTCCCACCTTCTCTGATCTGATAGACCATGAATGGCTTGAGTCCTCAGCCCACTCACCAGCAGTACTCCTCACGGGGCACTGATAGTTGTGACTTTACTAGTTGACACTTTCCACAGGAAGTGCCTTCTGCTGCAGAATGCAGCTCTGCAGTCTGGTTGTTTTGGAAACACACAATTTTGTTCTAGTGCAGTTGATATACACTATGTTATGGCTTATGTCTAGAGTCCCCCAAAGCCTCATACAGTCATGGGGAGTTGGGCAGGCTTTTTATAGATGGCTGAATCTAAGGTTTATGATTAATTCATGGTCCAACGCTGGGATTATGGGTGTGAGTGCTACACCCACTCTAGGGCTGGTAGCCTGCATACAATATAACAGACAGAAAGAGTCTTCTCTCTCCCTTGTTGTTTTTACTATCTTCTACTGCCATGAATAGACTGTGAGCTGAATAAGCCTTTCCCTCTTTAACTTTGGGTGTTGGGTATTTTGCCTCAGCAATGAGAAGAGTAACTAAGACACAGTATTAGGGAACAATTTCATTCCACTGCAAATTTTGCATTGCATCAGCTCACGTGCCTTATCATCCACTAGAAACCCAGTGAGCCCAGAAGATAGCAGCTAGCTGAACAACTGCATGGGAACATACAAAGCACACACACATAACATCTGGTGTCATCCTGCTTCATTTCAGATGACCCTCTTTCCACTAATTCACAGTAGCTTACAAGATTTCAAGGTAAGACGCTCATATATTGCAGTCTTACATATTTCTAGCCATTTAACATGTGTAATACTGGGTGACTATTCTTATTAGTTCCTTCTTTTCTTTTCTGTATCATGGATGGAGTTTTTGAGTGCTTACCCCGATGTCCATTTCCCCCATAAGCTCTGAAGGTTCCATTATGCAATTTTGCACACTGTAATGATTTCTAGGAATACATATTGTGTTACAGCAGAACTAACTGCACATTAAATGAGCTAATATAATATACATGTGTTCTGAACAGACTGGCACATGGTAGTGCTAGCTATTACCATCACCCCATACTTCACAGAAGCACAGACCACAGCATACAGCCGCTCAGGTTGTGCTTGGTGCCTTGAGATTATTACTTGAGTGCTTACCCCAATGTCCATTTCCCCCATAAGCTCTGAAGGTTCCATTATGCAATTTTGCACACTGTAATGATTTCTAGGAACACATATTGTGTTACAGCAGAACTAACTGCACATTAAATGAGCTAATATAATATACATGTGTTCTGAACAGACTGGCACATGGTAGTGCTAGCTATTACCATCACCCCACACTTCACAGAAGCACAGACCACAGCATACAGCCGCTCAGGTTGTGCTTGGTGCCTTGAGATTATTATTTTTATTATGCAATAAAACATCTGTTCAATTGACTAACAGGTCAAAAAAAAATCACACTAGGTATTTCTTTGAAAATTGACTTGAAGAGCTTTAATGTGTATTACCAGTGATAAACTGCTCATCTTCCATAAGAAAACTAAGGAACTGTTCTATAAGAGATAGTCATAGAACAAATCAATGCTCCCACCAGACCAGCACAGCCCCACTATGCCCAGCCCATCCTACCTTCAAGAAGTCAAAGTGTTTGAGCATTTGGGCCACTTTCTCAGCATTCCTGCCTTCGTTGAGGAAGTCCAGTTCCAAAGGCAGGTTCTTCTTGGCTTCATCCACCAACCACATAAACTCAAACTCTGGAAATAACTGCTTCACAGCCAGGACAAGCACCTGAAATCCACCAAGTATCAAATCAATCTACTCACAACATACATAAGGGACCCTCCCCACCCTCTGCCTGGGTCTCCCATGTAGTGAGGGTAGGTGGGGAAACTGCCCCGGCTCTTATCTCTGTCAAAGATATATCAGCCTAGCAGCCACCAGCAGTAACTGTGAGTCCCCCTTGCTGGCTGTTCCCATGTGCCAAGCATTGGGGTGAGAGCATTATTTACTAGTCTATGTAAGCCTCATCACAATTCTAGGAGATGTGTGGGTAATCCATCTTATCATCCTCATTTCTATTACAGATGAGGAAATTGGGGCTCTAAGAGTTTGTGTGATTTCCTGAATTTGCCCAGCAAGTAAATACAGAGCCAGAAATCTACTTGGGTCTACCCAACTCCAAAGCCCTTGCTCTTGAGCATTTCACCATGCTGTGCTATTGCTGCTCCCAGGCTTATTCTTCAAGATCCCATGCAGGGGCCAGAGATTTAGCTCAGTGGCATAAGCACCTGCCTGGCAAGTGCTAGGTCATGAGTTCAAATCTCTGGTACCAATAAACACATACATAATTTTTTAAAAAATAAAAAAAAAATCCCATCTGCAAAGCACCTAGAGGGGCATTCCCTATAACAGTCATTCCTTTTTATTTATTAAGCCAAATGGTTATTACTTGAATATTCATAATATAGGTTGAGCACCACAGATTCAAAAATCTGAAATCCAAAATGCTCCAAAATCCAAAATTTTCTGAATGCTGACATGATACCACAAATGGAAAATTCCACATCTAACCTCATGTGACAGGTCATAGTTAAAACATAGGCACACTAAAAATACTGTGTAAAATTACCATCAAGCTGCGTGTGCAAGGTAAAGGAAAAACATAAATGAATTTTGTATTTAAATTTGACTTCCAGGCACAAGCTATATCATTAGGTATATGTATTTCTAAAGTCTGGAAAATCTGAAACACCTCTGATCCCAAGCATTTTGGATCAAATGACTTGAAGTATACCTGTATTGTCATCTATATTTTTCAAAAAACATATTTCATAATAAACATTAAATACAAATAAGGGAATAAACAGGCTGGACAACACGAGAGAGATAAGAGATAAGAGATTTGACAATCCAGATTAAAAGCTTGGGTTTCGGCAATATGGGCCCACCATGGATTCCTGAATGATGGTATGAGGGAAAGGGATGTTTAGAAAATGTATCCAACACCAAGGTATCAGTTTAATGGCTCCTTAATTAAACATTAAGGGTAGAGAACAAAAGTCCCATGAAGTGTGCAATGCACACTACAGCCCCTTTGGGGCAGAGACTCAGCCTGAAGGTTCCCATGCAACTAGGCCCCTGAATGTAAGATGGTTTCATGAATTTACGGACAATGGGTCCACAGTGAGTATGCGAGGGTGCTACCAGCAATGTATGCAGTGTTCTAGAATTCAGGAGTAAAAAACAGAAGGTAACCCTCTGCTATCCGAAGCCCTCTTAAGCCCTCCTCTTGGCATTCAAAGCCACGTCTAGAGAGAACCACTGACTGACCGTTCCAGTGATTCTCAGTATAGACTGCAGTCCAAGTTGTTTAAGAACACCATCCCTATCCCTGGCTACAGCAGATGGCAATCAGCAAGAACTAGAAAATCATGGGCCTGTAGGTACCAGAAGACTATGGCCTTCCAATCTTTCCAGATGGACTTACTGAGGCACAGCTAAGAGCCTTGTCTAAGCCTCTGTTTGCAGTGGACTCAGATATTATGCACACTGGGTCAGGCATATGTGATACAAAAACAAACCAAAAGCAAAGCTATTAACTACAAAGCTGTTTTTAAACAGTATGTCCTAGGTGATGTACCAGACACTATTGTAAAAGAATCATCAAACAGGGTTATTATGCTCAATTTCTAACAAAACCCTTTTTAATTATGTTAGGCTGTAGTCCAATTTCTTTCCACTCGCGTCTAGTCTCTCATGGGCTAGACCTGTGACCTTATGCCAATTGATTTCATTTGTTTCTGTTGTGTCGCATGAAACAAGAAGGGAGAGGAGGCAACAGAGAGGCCAGGGCCACAAGTGTCAGACACAGGCACCTGGACACAGCAGCCTCCAGGCATTACATCTCATCAGGCGTCCCCAGATGGCCCTCAGCTGCCACCAAAGTGGGGGCAGAGCATGCCCAAAGCAAACAGAAGTGACTTGCCCAAACTGAACCAAGGGCACGGATGTCCTCAAAGGCACTGGAATTCCACTCTCTGAGCATTGAGTTCAGGCAAGAAAAGCTCTGTGGAATTTTGTTCCAGTCTAACTTGCAGAGGGCCTGGCCCAGGACAGGCAGGACAGGAGCCATGGTGAAGTTTCCTCTTTCAATCAGTACTGACAGATTATCTGCAGGCAGCTGCTTTGGGCCAAACGGGATATACACAGGAAGCTGCCTGTAGCACAGAGAGATCCACACCAAGGAGGAAGCTTTTGCCAAGCAATAATTCCTCATCATTTATTGTATGTTCACTATATTTGTGAAAATTTTAATTATCATTAGTATCCAAATAGCACAGAAAGGTACTCTAAAGATTTTTTCTGTTACTAATCAATTATATAATTAGTCACTATTAATAATACTGGCTATTATTAATACCTCATGCCATTAATCATTAAAGCAGTCACAGACTTTATTGACTAATATTAATTGCTAATAACTAACTAGTAAATTAATTCATAACCCAATAAACCCCACAGCACTCATAAAGTCAGTTTCTGAGGCTTTCTGTAGATTAAAAGTCTTGGTTACAATAGTCCCCCCACTTTTTGCATGATACTGGGATTGAACCCAGGGCCTTCACACTGAGCTACATCCTAGCTCTTTTTTTATTTTGGGACAGGGTCTTGCTAAGTCACTAAATTGCTCAGGCTGGACTTGAACTTATGATCCTGATCCTCTTGCCTCAGCCTTCCAGAGTGGTGGGATTACAGGTATGCACCACCACACCTGGCTTCCATAGCCACTCCTATCTGAGGAGAATATTTCCTAAGACCCCCCAACTGGATGCCTAAAACTGCCAGTGATTTACCAAACTCTATACACAATGTTTTTCTTATACATACAGATCTGTAATTTATTTATGTTTGGCACATTGAGATTAACAAAAATAAAATAGATTATAATTAAAGTTAAGTAAATATCATCTCACTCTCAAAATCTCTTACTGTATTGTACCTACTATGGCTGACTATAGATAAACAAGATTTCAGGTAACTGAAACCGTGGATAAAGGAGCCTCCTGTCCTAGACAACAGGCTGGCACTGGTAGAAGCCAGTGGCTCTTGATAGTATGTCACCATTTCTCTTGGTTGCTGCCAACCTGAAAACCTGATGCCAGCCATGAAGCCCAGAAAATGTACAAACATACACTTTGCACCTAACCTTGGCATTCACTGGATGATAAAGGAAGTCAAGTTATGAGTCACCTGACCCAAGCACTTTGGGTTGCTGCTGCTTTTCTCGGCTAAGTAGAGTAAAATAAAACATAAGTGGAGAGGGGAAGAAGAGCTACAATTAATTTTTTTTAAATGCCTTAAAAATGTTCGAATGGGAAGGGGGACAAGGAAGAGGGGAGAAAAGAAAGAAAAACTTTTAAAAAATGAGAAAAAAAAGGAAAACGTAGAAACAAAGCTTCTGTAAATAAGGAGGGGAAGAAGGACTGAAGACAGAGTAAGGGAATGAGGAAGAAACAAGTTATATGATGTACAGATACAAATTCCCTAAGATAAATACGATCATTATGTATACCTAAAATGTATCAATAAAAATCATTTTCTTTGGCGGGGGACTCCCTTGGCTCACCTTCTGTTTCATTCCCTTCCCTTTTTAAGAGCCTGCCCTAAGTAGGTTCATTTTAGTTTATTTTTGACAACAGATGTAATCAACTAAAATAAAACAGGTGTTGCAAGCAATTTGCCTTTCTGAATTTTCTCTGTATCTTTTCCATAAAATTCTTCCAGCAGCCATTGTTTTCGTCAATGCCTAGCTTGTACTCAGTACTCCACAGATGTTCACTGGACACTCGCAGGAATAAGTGAATAAATAAATGAACACACGAGTAGTTCAAGGGGCTTGTTTCCTCCTCTGAGACAACTATATATGCTCACATTTGTGCTACTGGAATACACAGGTTTTTGTTCTTGAGATTTTTGGTAGAAAAGGTAGATCACCTCTGAATTTAAAAGAACCAGACTTTCAAAATAACTGAGAATTTGCCATTAAATTCTGTAAACTTATGACTAATCAAGCTATATTCAATAATTAACATTTCCTTCAAGGTAATGAAACTGTTTTCCTATAGAGCTACTGGCTCACAGTGAGAAAAAAAAATCAATTGTGAGTCACACAGAAAAAAAACAGAAAAATGAAGAGCCATAACAGAATCTTGAAAGCTAATGCTCATGATTTACAATTGCAAAAACAATAAAAATTAGCATTGTTTAGTTCCTAGTATATAACAGGTACTGCGTCATGAGGCATTTTTTGTACATACTCTCACCTAATCTTTCTCTTGCCCATTCTACAGAGAAGAAAACAGGTTCCAGGAGGTTAAAGCACAAACAGTACTATAGTTTGGAACTGTCAAGACAGGATCTGGACCCAGGTTTTTTGTTCTTTCTTTATGCAGCCCTGCCTCATGCAATACAATATAGGATAATACAATGGGAAGCTAAGATAAGGCAGAGAAAGAGCTTTGCAAATTGTAAAATGCAACTGAAATGTAAGTTGCTGTTATCAAGTTATTATATACTATAAAAGAAATAGTGTTCCAGGGAAAAGCAGCACATAAATAGAATGTCTGCACCAATCCAAACTAGTAAAAAATGGATATTTGACAAGGATCAAAAATCAATTCAGAGTCATGTAAACAGTTTGCCATTCATGGGATTCATCTTTGTTCTGATAAGTTATTAAAGTGCATGCTTTTTAGAAAACCAGAATTACAGGGTGAAGAGAAGTTTTC